ATAAAATGTATTTTTATATCTCTCTTGTCTACTAGCAAATAATTCTACTAGTTTATCTCATATCTTCATCAACAGCTTTTTAGCTACAGGAACCACTGTATGAAGATATTTCCCATCAGCATTACAGATAAGGGTATAATTTTGCTTGATTTGTATAACTCCCAGAGAACTACGCAACTGCATTTCAACAAATCTTAAATAATGTTATCCAAAGGTGACTGATCTTTAAAATGTGCTGGTTTGTGTGTGTGTGTGTGTGTGTGTGTGTGTGTGTGTGTGTGTGCGTGTGCATGCGTGTAGCAAAAGGGATTTGAAAAATACCTCTGTACTTTGGGATGCTTTTCATGCTTATTTACAACTCTAGATTTTGGGGTACTTTTGACACGTATATGAATATCGAAGGTCTTTTTTCCCAGATACTCAGATACTTGCCAAAACAGTCTAAGACAAAATCACTTAGGGAATATGAACTAGCCCAGAGATTAATAAAATCTCCAACTTCACAAGCTTCCACAAATAATGAGATGAAAACAACAGATAATTTTCAGCCATCAAATATTTCAGTACCTCACTTTCTTTCTATGACATATTTATCCCATATGAAATATTTCCAAAAGGAGTTGTAATGGCCTTCTGGGACCGGAAGAATAAGGTTTCTGTAGAAAATGTTAAGTTAATTTTGATGGTGATGCAAAGTTAAGGAAGAGTTGTTAAGGGATGGCTTGCCGCCACAGGGTGGAGTTTTGTTTTGGTATCATTTTAGAGTCTGCAGGTGTTTGGCACCAGTGAAAATCAGGGCCAGCTGTGATATTTCAATAATTCTGATATTTCCCACCCCATAGTTCTCAGAAGTGATGCTTCAGGGTTATGTCTTACACCTGATTATTCAACTTGTGTGGTACAAATGGGAAGATTCTGTTAAGTAACACCAGTTTTGTGACATTTTTGCCCTCTTTCCCACTCTCAGGTCATGACATCAAGGACAAGGAAAAAACACTAATCAAAGGCTCTGATCACTCATATTTTTTAACTGAGCAGTTCAGTCACTGATGAGGATACAGTAGAATAAGCAAATATACACTCTTAGGAAGCAAAAGCCTGAAAGCAGTCTGCTGAATTCTCTTTTGATACTCTGTGTAGATAATGATGCTTTCAAACCTTCTCGGTGGTGACATCTATACCTACATTCACAGGAATTTGAAAAGTTTCTATTAAAAGCTGCATTTTCTTTTAAGTTTGTTTGGGTTGGAAACCCTCAAACCACAATGTATTTCATGCACATGTTCCCAAGGGTATGTTAAATAGGACCATACTGAGGTCATCGAGTAAGTTTTTGAAACTTTTTAAGAATTCCTTTAATGTACTGCACAATCTTGGCCTGATTAAAAGAAGATATTTTAAGAAAGCACTTGGAAAAATGACTGGCTATTAAAATCTACAGGCAGATAATCTATATTATACTGTATAATGCACGGAGCTTTGCCCAGATAATCTGTCATTGAGGGAGGAAAAACAATAAAGCTACTATATCATTTCGAGTCAAAACTCAGAATTATCAGTAAATGCAGAACAAAAGCCCCTGTAGTATTCTTGATTGACTTAACAATGGATGGTTTTAGGATGAGTGTAACTGTATATAAATCTAGCATTTAATCAGGGGATAAAAGGTAGACAATCATCCATCTATCCAGAAAATATATATCATCTGTTGTTTCAGTTCAGTTTAAAAAATCAAGTTTTCTTGGAACATGAGATCCATGATGAAATTGTTAGGTTAGCAATAGTTTCTACCATCATATACATTTTTGTTGCCTACCCAGTTTTTCAAGATGCAAGTGAAATTTAAATGATCTACTTGATAAGTAGGCATTCAAAATTCTTTTTTATTCCTTAGGGGTTCCCAACAGTCTCTTTCTCCCCCGGCTGGACATACCCCTTTCCGCTTCATCAAAGCCTTCCTTCCTGCGCCATGTTCCAGGCCTTGTACTTCACCCAAAGTAATTTCCAGTTGAATGAGCAGCTGTGCTGGCAGGACGCGCACATGGAGAGCCTGCTGCTGCGCCAGCCCCGTGTTCCCACATCTGAGCACAAGTGGCCGGTTCCTTGTACCCAGGGCCAAGAAACTCTGCAGCTCATCAGAGGAAAGCAAGATTGGCCCCCTCAAACGGAAATCATACTCACAAAAACTTTCATGGAAAATGAAAAATAATAGTGTTGTCAGTAATCAGAAATGATGAGGAGTTGAGACCTTCCTGGCACAGAGCATGGATGCTTCTTCTTAAGAGGACAGTAGAGTGTGGTATTGTGTAAATGATCCCATCCGGGTGGCTACACTGGGTGTGCTTTTATCCATTAGGAAGGTAAATAACAAAGATGTTTACATCAAGAATACCACCATACAGCCAACTGTCATAACGCGATCTTACACATCAAGCACCTACTAACAACCCCTGTGCAGTTCTCTTGATAAACATCTCATTTTATACTCTCAACAGTACAGAGATATGATCCTTTTTCACCATTTCACAGTTGAAGAAACTAAAGCCTAGCAAGTTTATAAAACTGTTCAGCAATTTTGACACTGTTGTCTTAACTATTATGTTATAGTCAGTTGTCAGAGATTACTAAGAATGATTCAACAGGCCCTAAAGATAGCTTGTCAGCCCCGGTTGAGTATAGCAGCCACTTAATCATTTGGAAAATCTACAGTTTCCACAAGTAACCAACTTATTCATTTGCTGATTTTATACATGCATAAATATTTATCATGTACCTGCTGTTTAAATCAATTTTTAATTTGCTTTTCATAGATGCAAAGGAGACTAAACTTACACTAAACTTCTAACACCTAGTACATAATAAATTCACTAAAGGATTCTTGAATAAATGAAATAACTTTCTCTATAGTCATTTTTAGAGGTGTTCTTTACATTATTTTAATAACCTTTGATTTTCTGATTTTTTTCACATTACACATTCCTTTTAAAATTCACAATTTTATGGAATTCTTTCTAAAGAGTTATAAACACTTCCAAGTATAAGAGAAAGATAGTTCCCTTTTGTATGGAACACAATTAGAATATTGAAAATTTACAAGGTCAACTCTGCTTATTTCCAAAATGCAATAGTAGTATATGATTCCAGTCTTTCAAAAAGTCCAGATAAATTGCATATATGCATTTTAGTATTTAAATGCCAAGGAAAAATGAAACTATGTATGAAAGAGAACAATGTTCCCCTTGCTACATGAGTATAATTGTCAATATCACTCACAGTGCAATTAGGTAATTTGATATTACAAGTATAACAAGTTTAATCTACTTTTGAGTAGCTAAAAGGGAAATCTGCAGAAAGTTCGGGTGTAGTATGAAAAGATGGTATCTTAACTTAGGCAATATAAATATTCTTCATTTGGTAAGTAAACTAAGTATGAAAATATGCCATAGGCAAAAATAGAAATTTCTTTATGGGCCCAAAACAGTTGAGACACCAAGATAACAAAGTTCTCTTGTAGCAATTAAACTGAATTACAAGGGAAAATTAGGTATGCAAATCCTAATTAGCTTATATTTGTTCTGACCAGCCTATGATCTGAACAGTTTTAAGGCGGCAGGAAGAACTTTAGATCAGAGCTTTAAAAAAGAAAATAGTTGCCGTCAGAATACACCTACAAAGATTTAATCCTAATTACTTGCTTTGGAGACCTTACACATATGACCAAACATAGATAAAGCAATAGAAATGCTGACAGAAAAATTCTCAGGAACTCTCTCTAGGAAAATGTGCCCTCAAATGGAAATAAACGTAAAATCCTACACACTGGTATAAAACAGCTTAAAACAATGGTTCATTTTCATTCAAAGTTACAATGTGGTTAAAAAAACAGCCTTTTTTCTATATTTGGGATGTGCACACAGTCATCTCATTGCAAGAAATCACCAGGTTTTAATCCAGTGAGCTTGTGCTGCCTCTCAAACTCACACAACACACAACAGGTCAGATCTGTTATCCTACATCGATATTCACCATTGTTTTATCATTAACAAAACTCATTCTTGGCAGAAAATAGCACAGAGTGGAATTTATGAATTCAGTCATCTTTTCTCTGCAGTGAATATTATAACTACACTCCAACACTACTATACACTCCAATTTCCTTTTAAACAGATACAAGATTAAGGTACCAAAATTACGCAGATTCGTTTTACATAAAGTTCTCCCTCCAAAGTTATGTTCTGTTTTTAATAACTCATTTCAGTAAAAACCTTCCACTATATAAATATAGAGACCAATAAAAAATTTATAGTTTCAAAATGTTGGAAATTGACAAGATATATGAATAATTATAGCAAAATTTACACAGAAAAATAAAGATCTGCTACATTTGGGGGTTAATATGTGAATATAAGATATGGTTAACTGCTTGTCATTGTGTTGGTTGAAGTAGTAATATCAAAACTTGACATTAAGGCATCATCAAAAAAAAATCATGTGAACCATGTTATAGAAGGAATTTTTTAGGGTGACCCCTCTTCCTGGGCCGAAGAAGGAGGTTCTAAAGCACAAGTCTCTCTTCAGGTGAAATTTATGCTGCACCAATAACAAACTTTGATCAAAGCATATGAAAACTTCTAATTTGCAGAATTAAACATGACTTACTTTTTTTAAGACAGTCATATATGATCAGAAATGAGCTATGACTGAAATTTCTCATATTTCTTTCTACAAATATTCTTTGAGAGCCTGACTCCAGCCTCTAAATTGCCTGTATTTCTTCAGTGGCTGATGATAGAATATATTAGGTCTAACAGATGAAAAAAAAAAAAAAGTATGTTTACAGACAGCCAATTCTAAATGCTGATTCATTTCATATCCACAATTTGAACATTTCAGTGAAGTTATGTTATGTGGCTTACAGCTTAAGATCAATGACCACTGTATGCTTGTACAAATCAGTCTGGAAAGGAAAGAGAAGCAACCAAAAACTTCAAAAATCAAACCTGGGGCTCTGTAAATACACCCTTCATGTTGTTGATTGGGCCATAAGGGATCCCGCAGCCATCAAAGAGACACAACCACATGGCAGTCGTTTGTTCTTCAAACCTGAGAACAGACCAACAAAGGATGCATGTTCACACTCTAAAAATGCCACATGACCTCTTCTTTCATGTCGGTCCCCTTCCAAGTAACTAACAGTGACAGAGTATGTTTCTTAGGCTTTCTTTACTCTGAGATTTGAGGGAAAAATATTCACATGAAATAACTTGGGTGACCCTACAGAGGTAAGAGCAGCCACCCAGGCCTCAGGATTAAAAACCCAACTATCAAAGTTATAATTCCTCCTGTTTCTATCTCAGTATATTCTTTGACAGAGTCTGCTGGAAAAGAAAACACTAGGTAGAAAATGGTGTTAACTGAGTTCCAAATGCAGTATTGAACAATCTACACATATAATAATAATACTAACACAATTTGAGCATGAAGTCATGAAGCTAAATGTTTCTAGGTCTCAGGCACAGTATCAGGTTAGGGAGAACACTGATATTCTAAAAAATCAATTGTTTTAAAAGAAAGCAATATGTAAAGTACAAAAGAATCAATAACCACAATCATTGACCTAAAAATCAACATTAACTATTTATTTGTTTGCACTGTAACTTATGAATTAGAACTCTATACTTGGAAAACCAGTATTTTAGTTTAAGTAAGCAAAATTCAAATTCGTTCATGTATTTTATCTCTTTTTTGTTTCTTCTGTTTTTTAACATTGGGCTTGGACAAAAAAGCATATTTAATTTATTTTTTTCTATTAGGTCTTAAGGGAAAAGAGCTAATTCATCAATGAGATTTACTGTCCTTTATTTCTTCTCTGTTAAAATGTGAAACACAGAAGCAAAATCTTAGATCCTAATAGACAATGCAATCGTAATTTCTAATATTGGAAAATTTTCAGAATGATTAATTGTCAAAATAGCAAACTACTGCTAGTAAATAATAATCTAGGTATTAAAAGAATTTTTTAAAATACTAGTTAAAGCAGATTATTGCCAACAAATAAAATGCCTTACTAATCTAAAAATGTTATTGGAATTATAGTTCAAATATTTAATTCATGATATTCTCTTACACATAACCAGAATTCACCTCAGATACTCTATAAGACATATATAAGTACAGAAACAGTATCATTATATAGAATACATTATCTCCTTTGATTGACTTCTATTAGATAAAAATAAAAGAAAAAATGAAATTTATGTATTCTATTAAAGAATACTATATGAACAATGATATTCAATCATATAAATTTTTACATAAAGAGAAAATAAATATTTTAATGAAAATAGTGTTACATTTCGCTAGGAATCTAATTAGTCCCATCTACACGTGTATTTAATGAGTGTGTTCTATAAACCAAGCATTGATTCTTATCTTTAAATAGTGTCTCCTTTTTCTCTCCAATTTAACAGATAATGACTTCTCACTATTCAGTCTGATTTTGTCCCAGTAATGTACACTATCTCCACTTAGTACACAATAAAATCCTTCTAAAGATAAAAACTATTCTTTCTTCAGATATCATAGTTCAAGGTTAAATGTCTTGTTTCGAATCGAGTCTTCACATTCACATTTTCTTTTCAATGACTGTTAACATTATCTCCCAGCTGAGACGTCCTAAAATAGACATGTATATTTATCAGAATGACATATGCTGAAAGAATAAAAGAGATTCGTTGACTCTGGAGGCTTTTCAATCAGGGTGTCGATTATTTAAGTTTTCATAAATCGGGTGTTATAATGGTTAGTTTGGTAAATTTGCAAGACAAGTGAATTCATCTCCATTGAACTCACCCAAGTGACCTAAAAGGTCTGCACAGAGAATACATGTCAGTATCCAAACAAACCCATGACCACAGGCAGCCAGCAGAGAACTTAGGGGAATAGTTGAAGTTTTAGTATTTATATAAGCTTTTCCCCACTGGGCAAAAGAGAAGGATTTATTTCAAACTATGGAAAACAACCGATACACTTTGGAAATGAGACTGGGGGAAGAGGCCATATCTAAACAGCAGGGTGACCACTGTTTGTATCTCTGCGTGGGTGTGGGTGTGGAAGGGTTCCTTAGTGCCGCAAACTCAGTCACTCAGAGATGGAGCATGCTACATTCCACCGCTCCCTGAGGACAGATTCATCATTTTCTCCTGAAAATCTATCTCTCGATCTAAATCTGATGTGGAATCCTTTCCTTTATGCAATAAAAAAAAAAAGCTGTAAGCATATGTTTTTATTAACCACAAAAATTCTGAAGAAAGATGTGTGGGGGTTGATCTAAAACACTCAGTAAAATCAAATCCTGAAGATAAGCCAAAAAGCATGTCCTTAGATCCGGTTTAGCAAGCCTCTTGACGCTAGGGCTTTCTATGCAAGAAAGTTATTTGGAGCCTTATAGACAATCTAGATTTAATTGTGACCCTGATAAATCAACCAATATATTTAATTCTAGATTTTTGTAGAACTTATCTGATGCCAGGATTATTATAAATCAGATAGCATGATTTAGACAGACAAAAACACCGCTACGTAAACGTAGACCAGACTGTAACTTTCCTAATTTCAGAATTTATCTTAAAATGGACCAAAAAAACTTCCTTAAATTAAGTTTTAAGGAAGCTGAATTTGCAAATGATGAGAAACTAAGATATCTGGGTCATAATAACAGGAGTTGGAAGCAACAGTAAACACTGGTAATTCCTAAATGCTAGTCACTAAATTTAGCCTATAGTTTGTCAATCTAATTCTCACACCATCTTACTAAATATGTGCAAATATAGTAAAAATGTGTTATTTTTATTTGACCAAATTGGAAACTCAGGTTTGGAATAATAAACTTAGTCAAATTTAGTTCATTTTTAAGATATGAGGTTGCCTCTGAAGCTGAGATTGCTGAACTCCAAAGTCATTTTCTAATATACAAAGACTGTAGCAGAATACATTTAGAATGTACAGTTCACATGTTGCATGTATTATGTATGATTATATATAGTCTTAAACAGAGAGCAAATAGTCTCTCTTTTGTATTAATATGCTACTTCACGTCTATCTTACATACTTCAACATATATCTCCATACATTAATATTCATTCACTCCGGATGCATTTAGTTAAGAATTTGCTTTGTGTCAGCCATGGAGATTAAAACAGAGAGAGTTCTTAGGTTCAGGGATCACAAAGTCTGACATTTAACACAGACAGCTATGGAAACAGATGATTTAAATTCAGGATGTTAAGACAGATATGAGCGAACAACTTACAGCTGAAGATGCAACCGGACTAAGGGAGGCAGGAAAGGACTCAAAACGGAGGTGGCATTTGAGACAGGTGCTGAAGGATGGATAAGAATTTTCCATAGAGAAGACGGGGAAAAGAATTTCCAGGCAGACAGAGCAACATGTACAAAGATCTGGCCTGGGAAAAAATGCAAGCTCCCCTGTGCTCTGTGTGGCAGAAGGTGACACGAGAGATGGAGTTTAGAACCAGGGTAAAAAGCATCTTGTCTGTTGTACTATCAGTATTGGTTTTTTTCTGGAAAGAATGAACCCAGAGAAGTCTTTAGGTAGAAAATTTCATTTTCAGCACTGATACCGAGGATGGAATGCCATAGATGAGCCTAGAGACAAGGAAACTTTACAGGCGACGTATTGTCTCCTGATGCATCTCTAATCTACCAAGTCTCCCGTAGTACAATCATGAATAAGTTCTACTTGAAAAAAACTTTTCATGATAACTTTTCCCTTTTTAGTTACTATTCTGTTTGCTGAAGCCTATGAAATCTGTCTTGTTCACCAATACCTTTTCTTACCCAGTTGCCGGTGGACTTCAGTAGTCATCTGTCAGTTTTCAGAGTCCTCATTCTTTATCCCTGCATAGGACTTCATACCCCTGACTATTCTATTGTTAAGTCCTGTGAAACTCCTTAGACATTTTTTTTTTGTTTCCTTAATACCTCTTTAGACATTTGTTTCTTAGCTTAATTATTTAGTCAGACCAATATTCTTTGTTATCTTTTACTCACTGCTGTGGTTTAGGTAAGCAGCCCCCAAAGGTCCATATATTGAAGACTTGGTCACCAACCTATGGTAATGTTGGAGGGTGGTGAGATATTAAAGAGGCCAAGCTCAGTGGAAGGAAGTTAAAGCATCATGGGTGTGCCGTGATATACGGCCTCATCACAGGTACAAAACTGACTGGTCAACTGACTATATGGACTAGAAACTCTAAAAACAAAATCCAAAAAAGAAATTCTTTCCTCCTTAAATATTGATTACCTCAGGTATTTTGTCACATTAACACAATGCTAGCTAACACACTCACCAAAGTGATAACGTCTCTGTGCAGATGTTACTCAAATCCATGCTTTGAGACGTGGCCTGTTTGCCAGCTTCCTTTTTCTAGTCACCATAGGATAATTCCACTTAAATGCACTATCATACCTACAAATGCAGCATCTTCACAAATGACTTTCTCATTTCCATTTTCTTCAAACCTAGGATTCATCCCCTACCCTTGCTAAATCTGAACACTTGTCTTCCCATCGTTGCTTACAATGGTCTGTTTGATCAATGTTTTGAAGGTTAAATTTTATTCCTCCAGCTCCACTATAATTGTCATAGTCTTGACTTTTGATGTTTCACATTTAGACAGTGGTGATAGGTGGCTTAAAATATACTGCTGCTGGCCAGGCATAGTGGAACACAGCTGGAATCCCAGTACTCAGAGGCTGAGGCAGGAGAATTGCTGCTGTGAAGTCAAGGCCAGCCTGGGCTACATAATGAGTTTAAGGCCAGCCTGAACTGCTCAGCAAGATCCTGTCTCAGAGACAGGAAATATATATATATATCCTCCAATATTCCTAAGTACCTAAGTCATCAACTGTAGGTATGGCTCAGATCTGTTTACCTCCTTCCCCAGAATCACTATCTTCTCTGAAGCTAAAGAAATACACTGTTTATTGATTATCATATGTTAAGAAAGAAAGAACTGATATGAATATTTGGGAAAAACAATAGGTTGTCAATCACATTAGCGTGAATTAATGTGGTAAAC